AACAGAACAAATACGTGTAAATAGGGAAGAGGGTAATGGATTGACATGCATTGGAAACCAGGAATGAAAAATATAACAATATACATGTGATCATCAGATGGCAATATCATATTGCTGTATTGCAATGAGTATGTGGAACACGATTCTGCAAAATATAACTATGGAATAGTAGATGAAACTTTCAGCAATGCTGTAAATGAACACTCGATAAATGTTGGAAATGTATATACAAATTACGTATCATAAAATACCACTAAACAACTATTGACAAAATGAGTATGTCACAAAGCACCGCCATGATATTTAAAAACGTTGCATTTCACATACTAGCCATCACACTTATCAAATATATGTCCAAAAAACACTTGATATTGTTTAACGTCCTATTAACAGCTAATGTTATCCTAGGACGTGCCTCCATATGTGTTGTGTAAGCGTGCATGTGGGTTAGCAAACGTTATCGTCGTCAGTCAAAGACAGCGATTCATGTCTTAAGAAAAGTAATGAAATCTTTGTACCATAAGAAACCATAGTAATATTCATAGAAGAAAAACAATTCACACATTTTGAAAAAAATAAAAATCCGACCAATCAATAAGTACAAAATGTATTTGAGCTAAAATGATTTAATGCAGATGAAACAAACAATGAGTATCTTCAAAATGTATCGGTCATATTTGTAAATTGGTAAAGTGGTGGTAAGCTATATGTTGTTATTTATACATTTGTTTTCTCTATTATAAAGATGGATATGTATATTTTTTCAAAATATGTACCGTGTCGATTGTTTTTAAAAAAAATAACAGAGTCTTAACAAATAATAATATTATATATATATATATATATATATATGGAAAGTATGACAACAATTATATATATGTAAGAAGTGCGACGTGAAGACTTTAACGTATGAGATAAGCTTACCTAAAACCTATATAAACACACAAATAAATTCAGTCAGGTGAGGATATTGTAAGGGGAGTTGTATTGTGTAAGGCGAACAAAATGTGAACAGATTATGTCACGCATTTTTTAAATTGAAAATAAGATTCTCTGTTTGAGAGTCTTGCATCAAATCTATAATTCTACTAATGTCCCTTCATCGCTTTGGACATTTTATCAATGAACGTTTTTTTTACATTTACAGAATCACAAGAAAACAGCGATCAATATTGTTATTTAACTTTAAGAACAGATAAAACGTATTCATGAATGTGTTTTTTTCTAACACGACAATGTTTCATTTCGTCTTAATAATAAAAATACGTCGCTCCATATTGTTTAACCAAGGATGTGTCTCTGCTTAAAACTTGGCATTTCGTCAGCAGAAGGTGACGGTTATTTGTCTGATGAAAAACAATTATTAATACAAATCATCGGAACCTTTCTAGTAGTTATTGGTTGGGTATAATGAATACCTAACTTGTAGTGTCAATAGAGGTTAAAGAGATTATTTCAGTTGATAAACTTTCTATGTCAAAGGTTGGAAATCCTGTTTAGAAAGCTATAAAACACCTACCAGTAGGTTTTCTATAGAAATTTCTATGTTCATGCCCCATAACACTTTATGCTTTCCACTCACTCGCTTGATTGGTCACGTAGAAGATGGAATAAAGGCGGCCCCAATGGCGCCGTGGGAAGGGTCACAATGGGATGGGCAGGGTGAATGATACATAGGAACAAGAACTTATCATACCGTAGCATGTTTGCCCACACCCATCAAACATGCTTATTTTCAGTTAATGCTCATACAAATAAAGACTGAACTATAAAGTTATTTTGTATTTTGCTAGAAGGAAGTAACCTGATCTAAAATTATTTCAATCGAAGTGCCTTCATTTTTTAATTAACATTAATCAATAGTGTAGTCATTATAAAAGCACAAGTAAGTAATGTTAGTTTAGCTATAATTGACAGTGAGCTGTTTTTAATTACCAATCTTGATCAAACACAAAACAGATGTACTCTATGTATGCAAAACGTGACCGTAAGTCACCGACAAGCGATTTATTTTTGTAGTACAACGGTAATCAGAAAACTCGTTATATAAAAACGGGGCTTAAGACACATTCGTAAATGGTAGTTTTGATAACGCGAATAAAAACTTCAAAACACTATTTGTGCCAAGCAATATTACATTGATCGCGAAAACAGCATGCATAAAAACGAGTTAGCTGTCTGTCATGAGAGTCATATAAAGAAGATGACAAACGATATGTACACAAAAATTGTTTTAATAGCAATGGACAAGTGGTTAAGGCGTCTGACATTCTTCTTCCACTAGCCCTCCAACACTGGGTCGAGGGTTCAAGGCCTACGTGGTGCAGTCGCCAGGTACTGGCCGTAGGTCGGTGGAACTCCAGCTTTCCTCCACCACCAAAACCTGGCCAGTCCTTTAATGACCATAGCTGTTAGTAGGACGTAAAACACAAATAAACAAAACAAAACCATTAGCAATGTCCTTCCGAAATATGAACAAGTGTCATGCTACTATTGACAAAGAAAGTAAATGTCTCAAAATAACGAGATGTGTCAATAAGTGATGGCATAGTCAAGTGAAAACGTTTTTCAGAAAGATTTTGACTTTTTCTGTTTTTGTTGCTATCACTTTGTAATACTGCCGTGTTAAAGAGTGCAAAGGAATTGTTAATAATCTATAATGTATTCTACTGATGTGTGCATTTAGTAGTGCGTGTTACAGGTAACGCATCATTTGCGGTTACATTGTTGGCCGCAGTTTCCTGTTGATGTAAGATGATCTCGGTGCTAAGCGACTCTTTGTGAGAAAAAAAGTAACATCAAGATGTATAAAGTTCGTTTTTTCCTTAATTTGATTGACAAATAAAGCACAGCAGGTAATAAAATTTAACCTTATCCGTGTTATGTAACAAGTTAAAAACAACAATACATATAATAGTGTATCGGTTACATGATAGTACTTTCTACACATTGAATATTTTTCTTAATTGCTACATGATAGAAATACTTTAAAGTTAATAATTACATTTATCTGGAAACTAAGACAGTGTTTTTTTATTTATATAATTTTTATTCAATATTGTTTGCGACACGCGTATTCATTGGTTTGTATTTACAGTCTATCAAGTGATGGAATGAAAAAAAGAGAACCTATTTTAATGACGTCACACACAAAGCACTACATGTTTAACAAAAAAGAAGTCATCTTTCAAAAGTTTGTCCGCAACTAAGCCTTTTGAACTAAAAACGCGAGCATTATACAGCATAGATTGCATGGAAATATTCCCGACGATTAGCGAGCATCTATACATGACCTTATTAGCGTCATTATTTGAGAGAATACATGTAAATGAGCCTGTTAAAAGCTCCGGCACAACTTGATTGACGCTCCTTAGCACGCGCGCGGGGGATTTAAAACACGGCATTTAACCTTTTCGCCATTTTGTTGTAAATAATATATATAACATATTTTGTGCAAAAAAAATCCCTTTCTAATTCATAATTAATTCATAATTAATTCATAAGAATTGGACAAGGTAACAAATTGTTCTATCGATGTGGAGACTGAAAATCGCAGTAAATTCAGAGTACACTTCGGTCGTCGGTCTTTACATCGACTCACCCATCTATTTCCCAGTCCACTGTTTTAGGTTTAAAAAAGTATGTCACAGGACAATACCATGCATCAAAGCATGTCATAACACAGGTGATTTTTATCAATATTTCTTATATTCGTCATTAAGTGTTTAGCCAATAACCATATCGTTCAATCAAAAGTAATCTTTGATTTGACAGATAACAACGATGGCTAGGTGATGTATCAAACAGAACAGATCATTTAAACGTTTGTAACGAGAGACGATTTACCTGCTCGATAACAACTGTTACGTTCAGCTGTTTCAACATCAATCAAGCGTTAAATATGTTTACCTAACAGGTATAGTGTAAAGGCGGAAATTTTCGAGTGTGGAAATATTCGCGCGGTATAACTCTTTCAACTGATTACAGTGTTGATTATTTTTCGTTGGCAATTCTTCTAAAATCTGTATCATCTATATATGTATATTCTATATAATCTATGCATCAATATTCGCGCGAGGATACGTTCGCGGTTATTTACTCCACACGATAAAAACGCGAGCAAATTATCCCGCAAACACTTCCACTTTTACAGAAGATGATAACTTATAGTTTTGGTGCATAGTTAATAAATAAACTTTTTTTTATGTATTGTGATGCTAATTTTGTAACTGTTTGATAGCAATGGTATCATTTATGTTACTATTGTATAATGAATTTTCATTGTTTGCGAAAAAAAACATATCATCTGGTGTGAATCCAAAGCAAAAGCGTAACGTATGATTAATTATTTCCTTGTAGATAATTTTATAAATAAATGCACTAGGTTGGTTAGGGTAAGTGCGTTTGCTCGGGTTTAACGCGCTCACAACAGTACCTGGCTACTGATCCACGTAGGTCTCGAACCCGTGCCAATTATTACAATATAGGCAGCAGATCAATTTTGGTTTCTTGAGCAGAAGCACAAAATAAAACCCTCCATCCTGCAGGGGGCCCAAATAATAAGTCATCTCCTAGGACATGCAGTAGGGTACAACATGCATATTCTTTCCCTGAACCTGCATGCCCAACATGTAAGCATACAGGCATTGCTGATGAAAATATCTCCTTTCAAACATAAACTTCATGTCTTTGCGTATAATTTATGTTTTTATTTCACGTGCATGTGTAGGTTGTCGTACAAACTTTCATTCTGATATTGAAGCAACAGTATTTTTGGGATATAACACTTCTAATGCATCGTCTGAAAAATAAACATTTTTGGTAGCCCAATAACAGTCAAATGGCAATTTGTGCTCTTATTCGGCAAATAACATATAACTCTCTTCTAGTCAACAAATATCGACGAAGTAAAATAGTCTGAAATACGGTATAATACCGTAAAAACGTTTCAACGGTTGTGTAAAATCTTGCTGATCAGATTATATATTTTCTGTCTACAGCAGGCGTTCCCGTGCCGAGTCAGAATGGTGACGCTGCGGCTGCGTCCTCCTCCTGTTCCCCATGTAGAACTCCAAAGAACCTCCCCAAGGAGTGTATCTACGAGGTAATGGCAAGAGACCCTAACACGGGGAAGATATGCCCGTACTGTATCAACTTGTGTCGGTCGACAATTAAAACGGTAAAAGAAAGTGTTATCCCCGGAGCAAAACGTTCTAGTAAAACCGCACTTGGAAATGTACCTTCTAAGACTAAATCTGTCGTTTCCACTAAATCCGAGAGTTCTCGTATCACAAAGAAATCTAAAAAGGAAAGAAAAACAACAAAAACGAAATCTAAATCCAAACGAAGGTCTTCGAGGAGGAATAAGAGCAAGAAATCATCGAGAAGATCGAAATCGGCATCTGGAAAAGTCACATCAAATGTGCGGTCAAGCAATAAGAAAAACAAGATTCAAAATAAGGCAGCAACTGGACGACAATCGCTTTTAAAAAAATCCAAAAGAAGGAACAAAGCACCTTCAGTGCGTTTGGCCTATGGTCAATCTACGCCTGACAAGGTGTCACCGCTGGTACGATCTTCAAAGGCCAAAACATCACGTGACGGGATATCTCACTTGAAGACGTCACAGGTAAATTCTCGTCGATCCAGGGTACGTTCTACTGACCTTCAACCAACTGATTCATTTGCAAATGAACCGCTGGGTTGGTCACCATCTAGGGATAGATCCTATTTATCTAGTTCAAAATACAGTTCAAATAAAAGAAACAGGGTTCGAAATTCAGGCCGTTCGTTAAACAGAGAACCTTCAATATCCGGCCAAAATTACTACCCAGCGAATCACGACAGTGGATACAACACTGTCAACAACGGGGCTTGGAATGGTTATTACGACAATGGATATGACAACAGCTATGACAGCAGAGAGAATGGCAGGGATGACGACAGAAGCGACGACGATGATTGGTCTGCTCAGGGTCATATTGGAGGTTGGGATGACTCTTATGACGGCAATGATAGAAGTAGCAGTAATGAAAATGATTCGCACAGCGATAGTTTTGAAAACTTACCGCGTACTGGTAGAACAATGGCGAAAACGTCAATGCAGGGTGGTAGCAGTAGTGCTGAAAACAATGACAGGTCTCCTGTCAGAAACAATAACAACAATGGGTGGAGTGGTAGCGATCAAAGTAGCTCTGAAAACGGATCGAATAGTAGTGAAGACGATAGATGAAAATAGTGAGGTCTAGAGACCTCTTTTTTTGTTCATTCTCTGTTACTTTGGTGTTTGGGGGAGATTTTCTAAGTAAAACAAGGTGTTGTTTGTTAAATTTATGTTTTATCTTTTCACTTTGAAAGTGGTATCGTGAATCCTGTTTGTAATTTAGTATTGTACATTTACATTGTATATCCATTGCCGTACACGTTAGCTAAATAAAACATTTTATCAGCATTGACAAAATCCCTCATGGCTTATTTCATCTTATATGCCGAAAATAACGCATGAATATGGCATGTTTTAATCGCATTCACGCTTCAAGCATCCTCATCATCACCACCAGCAGCAGCAGCAGCAGCAGTGGCAGCAGCGGCAGCAGCATAGATGTATTGAAATGCGATTGTAAACCGATACACCATAGCAACACCGAACAACAAATTATATTGATAGACTCCAATACACCTCTACAAGTATGACAGACTCTGAAATCACACAAGGAAAAAATTGGTTAGAAGACTACCTACAACGTCATTGACGTAAATTGAATCTTAGTAGGAATAAAAAATAAAGATAATAAATATCGATAGAATATATATATATATATATATATATATGAATAAATAAATAACTGTAAGTGAGAGGTGAAGCAAATGGAAACGAAGTAAAAAAAAAAGTAAATACCGATACTATAATAGATAAATAAACAAAATAAAATAAAATAAATAAATAAAAAATAACAGAAAGTGAGAAGAATTTGAAACAAATGAAAACGAAGCTTAGTAGGAATAAATAAAATAACAACTATCGAAACAATAATCTGAATAAGTAAGAAAATTAAATGAATGAGATAAAATAATAAATAAATGAATGAAGTGAGAAGAATTTGAAACAAACTGAAACCCTTCTGGAGGTGAAATATAATCTATAGACGTGTTCCCTTTTTGCTGTGTTTCTGAACATTTTTCCGGAACTTTTTGGAGATGAATTTTCTTTTTTAGACTTCGGTACCGATGAGTCCAAAATAAACGAAATGACAATTCCTTAATTAACTATTCATGATTATCTGTAGGATAATGTGACCTCGTATAGAATTAAGTTGGATGGGGATTTATTACTGTAAAGGGAGGTAACTCAAATATTTTATCATATTTATGTATTTTGACAGTTTAATTTCGATTTAACTAGCTTACTAGCGTAAAACTTAATTCTTTACATTTCATTTTATAAGTGTTTTATGGTATATTTTCAATTATTTTGAAAATATAAGATACTTTCTGCCCTTTACGGGTCGAATCATTGATTTGAATCGGACATTCAAGATAATGATTATTTTCTTAAGTTGAATATTTCTTAAAAAGTGGCATGAACTTAAAACATCAATGAGCAAAAAGGTTTATGTTTAATGAAAGTGTATTCATTTGCTGCCAACTTAACGCAAAAAGCACCAATTATTTCTCCGCTTATACAGTAATTTCTTCCGCTCATTAACTAATGAGATAGTACACATAACACGCTAATGTTAGTCCTAAATTTACTTCTATCAGGGGTATTTTTCAGGTTTAAAGAAATGCAATGTGCATTCATTCAACAAACGTTTTTGTTGATTTCCTGATTCTAGTGATCGCTCCGATACTTATGCGTTGCTTGAAAGCGTGTCAGTGACCCAAGAAATTAATCGTATGAGTTCAATGGCAATGTCGACGATAACTCGTGACGTCACAATAAACAATCTTGTAGGGATTTTGTCACAGTTAATCTGTTATCAATCTTTTGTGTGACTGATAATCCATCATTATGTCATTCTAGTTCTCACGCTTTGTTTAAATAGCGTACATTGTTACATAGACGGACACCGATCGAGTCCCTACCGTTGATGTCATTCCCGATAACAATAGTGGTTTAAGCCCTAGTAGATTTCTATACACGATATAATGTTGCAATCATGTGTTAGGGTGTCTCCAGGTAGAAAGCTGCCAAAAAGACCTAGAATCGTTTGTTGTTATAGGTCTCAATTCCCACTGTGCCTCCATTCCCACTGTGCCATGGTCCTGTTTTCAAAATAGAATTAATGTTATGTTTTGTATATATGATATCGCCTAATTTTTTCCCGTAATTATTCTAGTGTTATCTTGATTTCCTTAAATGTAAAGATTACATAAACAGATGTACATATATAAGCACAAGTATGCATCATACTTGTATCATAACATATATAAACTGCTTAAGTTTAGATTTGTTCCGAATAGATATATTTTTCTTCATATCCTATGATCATTCGGAACACCTCGCCCCGATTACAGTTCCTGGCTTCCAACGTTAGATGACCGAATCGGCCGAGAAGTTCCGAATGATCCTATGATAAGCTAGTACTCCGAATTGATGTCTTAACTTAATTAGTTTTTACATACGGGTCCTGATATGCATAATTTTAATATTTATGATGGTATTTGACACATGCACAGTTCCGGTCAAACATATTCCATGCTTTGAAAAATGCATTTGTGTCTTTAAATTTACGTTCAAAATAACTTTTTAAGCTAATTGTTTACCAATTAACGGAACAGACTTTTTTTGCGAGAACAAGAGCATGCTTTCTATGGTTACCACTTCCGTCAGACGGCGAACATAAGTCGGAAATTCCAACAATATAAATAAACCTAACAAAGGTTTACCGGCTTCCGTAATCTATTGAATGTACATGGGGAATGTGAAAAGACATGATGTTACGATGGTGTAGATATAGAGTATGTGGACTGAGTACAGGTGTACCGAGTAGGTGATGTCAAATTGTCAGTAGTATATGATTTTGTTGAACAGCCGATGAAGTCAACTCGTCCCAGTATCAATGTGTTGCGCGTACATGGGTTTTCGTCAGGTCATTCTGTTCTGAGAGCTCTTGGGTCCACAGGGCTCGATTTTAGGCCCTCTGTTCTTCTATTTACATATTAATGATACTCAAGATGATATAGAAACCGACAAAAAAATAATCGCTGACGATACGTCCCTGTCTGCTGTTACCGCCTAACTAATTTCAAGCGCTGAACTCATGAGTCGACAGAAAAAATACCTGTTTAAATTCAACCTATCTAAAACTGAAATTCAAGTTGGCATTAGCAGATAATCATATAAGTTAAGCCATCCTCGTATTTTAATGAATAATAACCATAAAAAAAAATCAAAAAAAAATCACAAAAAATGGTGGACGAAACGATATTGTGATAGCATGACGTTGCTGTAATAGTCAGACTTTTACTGAAATGTGATAGTGCAGTATAGTTCAAAATACTGAACAGTCACCAGCACGTGTATGCATGATGAAGCAATACACGACTTAAGGATCCTCGTACCACTACCAAAACCTGTAACCAAGTACTAGAACCTGTATCATTCGGCATGACTACAGCTTTGTTAAATCATTTCAGAAAAGAACACGATAATCTGAAGTTCGGGGTTCGAACCCGGTCTACCCTCGCTGAATTTTCACACTCAGAAATCATACTGTTGTTGATTATATTTTGTTTATTTAATCTTTATCTTTTCTCATAAAATTCACTCAATGAAGTGAAAACTGAGTGAATTTTATGAGAAATAATAAAGATTAAATAAATAAAATATAATCAACAACAGTATGATTTCTGAGTGTGAAAATTCAGCCAGGGTAGACCGGGTTCGAACCCTGAACTTCAGATTATATATAGTGTCATTGGTCTAATCGATTGAGCTACCTGGTCTACAGAACTGCCCAGGCCAAACTGTACTACAGTCATATCTAAACGGAGTCAATAGCGGTTAGTGTATTTAGAAAAAAACACAGTGCAGTGAGACAGGGATCGTTAATTAGACATACTATATTTAATGCATTTAATTGGAGTGAGGACTCAGGTTACGGCTGCTCATACACTACCGACAGTATAACTGATATAATCTTCCTATCTACTTGGTTCATTCATAAGCCATGCTTTCGTCCTCAACAAGAATATAATTAAAACATTATCTGGAAGATAATCTAAAAATAATTAGTTCAACAATACACGAGTATCACTTACATTAACGATATAGCACCACAACTTCTTTTTCTCTACTCATGTTGCGTTAATACAACATTTTGCTTTGAAGGGTTAACATATGTATCACCAGTAGTATGGGAAAATATCAGTCTCTAATAATAAGGCAGAATTTTTACATTTGGTCATTTTCACACAGAAGAAAATATAACTTGATGAAAACGGATTCATAAAATGAATTCTATAGAATTTTGTGCGGAAGATATGTTTTGAAATGTGCCCAGACATCTTAAATACTAAGATTATCTCGTAATTGTATGTGAACGATGGAAAAGGACAGTTATTCAATTCTAAAAAAAGTGTCCACATCGAACGAATCAAAACTCTGTCAAAGCCATAAATCAAAATTCACAGCGTCTAATACATACTATATGCAAAAAACCTAATGCTTTGAAGTGATTTTGTGGTTTTATATACTAATGGTTTATGCCGTTACTTGTGTATAACGGCCGAATATTGTTTTCCCATCAATGGATACGTCCAGAAAGTGAACTGTCAACTAAGTGACGGATTTAAGATAATGTATGGTTAATTCCGTCTTTGCGTATTGCAGAGTTATCTTCTCTTGAGAGCAGGTATTAATTGTTACGTCACTTGTTTGTGAGAGAAACGTCATCAATTTTTGAGAAAACGACGTAATTTTCTCACACAGACCAAAGACGTAACAATCAATACCTGCTCCCAAGAGAAGATAACTCTGCAATACGCAAAGACGGAATATGATACACTATGGAATGGTTAACAATGCTGCATGGATGGAAAGTTTGAAAGGATATGATATGGTTTACAGTTCTTTTACAGATAATAACATGTTGTCATTAAATAGTATACAAAGGAGATAGCTTTTAATGGTAGTAGCTAGCCTTTAAAATACGATAACCTATTAAAACATATGGTATTGTAAGCTAGTCTGTCAATGAACATAACTCGTGAAAAGACATGGTATTGTTATTGAAAACGACGATAACTTGTTAAAATATGATATTGTTAACTAGTCTACAACAATGAAAACATGATAAAATGTAAAAATGAAAACCAGTTGAAACATAGAATTAAAAAATAATTTGATTTAATAATGAAAACATGTTAAAAATAAAAACCTGTTAAAATATGAAAATGATAACCTGTTAAACAAAAGGTATTTTTAGCTATTCTATAAAAATGATAACGGTTAAAATAATTTTATTAAAATAATCGCTATTGTTAGCTTTAGTCTAAAAAAAAGATAACTTGTGGTATTGTTAATTAGTCTTTAAGGACGATATCATATGAAAGATATGTTAAAATAACTAGTCTATAAAAATGATAACCCGTTAATATGTTTTAGTTGTACGGTTATTTTTGAAGATACATATCATCTCACAGGTTATCTTTCTTTATAGATTAGATAACACATCCGTTAACTGGTATGGTATTGTTAACTGTTCTTTAAAGGCAGATAATATGTTTAAAGATATGCTACAGTTATTTGTGTATAAAAAAGATAACCTGTTAAAGAAGATGTTATTGTTAAGTAATCTTTTAAGAACGGTAAACTATTAAATGATATGGTATCAATAACTAGTCTATAAAGGAAGAAAACCCGTTAAAAATAGTTATTTGTATAAAAAAAAAAAAATATGTTAAAAGTATGGTATAGTTTACTAGTCTATAAAGGAAGACAACCCGTTAAAAATAGTTATTACTAGTATACAAAACCTGATAACCTGTTAAACCATAGGGCATTGTTAGCTTTTCTATATACAGATAACCTGTGAGATTATACCTGTGGTGTTATACGGCATCGTCAATATACCCGAGCAGCTAAAATATATTAACAATGCATGTTATATACACATGTAAAATGAACAATATCTCATGGAAAACTATTCAGTGTCTTTCTACTATGTAGATAAACTAAAACAGATACCGGTATATTGTATGGATATGATTTTTAAATGGTATGAGTCGGTCTTTCTATACAGATTTTCTTTAGGGTAATAAAGTCAAAAATACCTTTCTCACATTAGGGTGTGCTTTTGAATATTCTAAGTGCATAGATATGAAATTTAAAATTACAAGTTCTGTTTACACCTGCATGAGGTTGTTTGAATTAAATATCTCTCGTATTCACGGTACGTTGACTATAGAGCGACACACCCACCAGTGTATAGTAGCGAAGCGCTCCAGTTTACGTGTATGCACACACGAGTGGTGACGGACTAGTTAAGACCCTACACCCCATTTACACCTGAAGCCATGAGACGGTCATACCAGTAAGCAACGTTTTCTCATATGCAGTTTGTTCCACATGCATTACCCTACTGGAAGTGTAAAGAAGGACACACGTTTATGCGTTTTTGTTATAGATAAAATCGCTACAAAACGTTTGTTTACATTGATTCTAGTTTGAGTCATACCCTTCTACGACTTCACACGTGGACATAACAACGCGAGTACGTTTAGCCGGATTACATTCGATCCGAGTGGACCTTGTGTTTACATCTGGTTAAACGTTGAATAAAGATTCCCCGCATGACAGAATTCAGTGTACCATTCCGGGAACAGGACAGGCTGCAAAACATGGAATTTCACCAAGAGCCAGCAACGCGATCAGACTTTCCTTTGGAACAACCTCGTCAATATGTTAGGAAACCTCTTTTACCACTACCTCCAGCTCATCTGCGGCAACAGCCAATACCACAGGAGATTATTTACCCAGTCTACGCTCCTACTACGTGTGTGGCTTACCCACAGGAATATTACCAGAAAGGAATCGCTCCTCCTCCTCTTGAACAGTATATACCAATTCAGAAGCCTATTAACATTAATGGCAGCAGCTATACAAATCTTCCCCGGGGAAGCTTTCCTGCATTGATTGCAGAAGATTGTCCCGAAAAATCTAAACCTGAAAATTCCACAAGAGGAAATCATCATTATTCAAAAGAAAGCTACTTCACAAACAAAAAGGACGAATACCAACCATATTCGAAAGATGAATCCAACAGAAAGGGAAAAGAGGAATCTATAAATCGCTCTAGAGACAATCAATCGAAACATCACAGTAACGGTCACTCTTCTGATTATAGAAATGACGATAATTCCACACATCAAAGAAAAGGTTCTTCGTCACATCGCCAAGGCGATTACTCTGATCATCGAAACAACGGTAACTCAAGTCAGCAAAGGGACGATCGAAATCCATCACATCGACAAGACAGTCATTCCGATCATCGAAACGATGATATGTCCAGACATCGAAGGAATGATCACTCATCACATAGACCAGACTCTAATAATCGAAACGACGATAAATCCAATTATCGTAAGGACGATGATTCATCACGTCGACAAATCGACGATAAATCCAGACATGGAAGAGACAGTCACTCACCACATCGAAAATACAAACATTCTGATAATCGAATCGAGAAAAACAATAAGTATCCAAGGGACAATCACTCTCCTCATCGACATGACAACTACGCCGATTATCGAAGCGACGACAAAACCAAACATCGGAGAAATGATCACTCTTCACGTCGTCAAGATACTTACAACAAACATAAAAGCGACAATAATTTCAGCAATCAAAAGAAAGACCACTCAACATATCGTGAAAACGGTCACATCGATCATCGTTACAACGAATGCAGCAAACATCACAGTGACAACTACTCATCAAATCGACACAACGGCTACTCCGATCATCGAAACAACGATATTTCTAATCATCGAAGGAAAGATAACTCGTCACATCGTCACGATAATTCCTCCAAACATCGAAGCAACGACAGCTCAAAACGTCGAAACGGCAGTTACTCCGATCAATCACACGACGAAAACTACAAGGATCGTATTGACGATTATCGCGATACCTACGATTACTCGACGGGCGACTACTACACCTACCCACTCGACAAAGAGCTTGAAGCAGTAGACGATCAGATTTACATAACAACAGACAGGTTTGTTTTGTTTATTATTTTGTATAATCAACACACACAACACACATCCACATAGCAAACCATTGAAAATCATCTTTCTACATACCTCAAAACAGAAGCAACGATAATCAACACGTTGATTAGAATTTAAGAAACTCTATTTCGACGTAACAGGTAAGGTCCACATGAACTACAGCTTAGAAGTACCCAAATGCATAAAACATACTTCAATTTTATGTAAATCGGATGTATCGGTCGGAATAATCTTTTCGCTGTATGAGCTGCTGTATTTATCTGCGGGTATATTATAAGAAGTTACAGGCAACCTGTATAACTCGTAAAGGTGAGGTATTGACTGCTTTAATCCAGCAGTAAGCCTTTTGTCACCGTCCACTGACCTGGTCGAATTGATTGTGTGTCGTACATTAACAAGCACATGTGTTATGCTGATTTAAAGTTTCGTGACACAGACAATACCTTAAGTGTGTTACCAGATATGTAGATGATTACCCTCTAAAAATGACATCTGGTAAAACCTGTGTAATAACAATAGTAATGTGTGATTACCGAACAACATACAGATGATTACTCTCTATAAATGTATGATTACTGAACAACATATAGATGATTAATCTCTATAAAGGTATGATTACTGAACAATATATAGATGATTACTCTCTATAAGGGTATGATTACTGAACAACACATAAATGACTACTCTCTATAAATGTGTGATTACTGAGCAACATATAGATGATTGCTCTCTATAAATGTGTGATTATTGGACAACATATAGATGACTGCTCTCTAAAAATGTATGATTACTGAATAACATATAGATGACTGCTCTCTAAAAATGTATGATTACTGAATAACATATAGATGACTACTCTCTATAAATGACACCCGGTACACCCTCCGAAATCATACTGTTGTTGATTATATTTTATTTATTTAATCTTTATTATTTATGTTGTTCGGTAATCACACAATAATATTTTTATCGCGGAGGCTGTACCGGGTGTCATTTATAGAGAGAAGTCATCTATATGTTTTTCAGTAATCATACATTTATAGAGAATCATCTATATGTGTGATTACTGAACAACACATAAATGACTACTCTCTATAAATGACACCCGGCACACCCTCCGCGATAAAAATATTATTGTGTGATTACCGAACAACATACAGATGATTACTCTCTATAAATGTGTGATTATTGAACAACATATAGATGACTACTCTCTATAAATGACACCCGGTACACCCTCCGCGATAAAAATATTATTGTGTGATTACCGAACAACATAAATATGATTACCCCTTATAAATGACACCTGATATAACCTATTTGATAAAATCACTAGTTTCATGTATGTTTACTGAGCAACATATATATATATGATTACTCTATTATTAATATCCGGTATAATCTAATGAAAAGGATAGGTTTGTGTATTTATTACCAAACAGCAACAAAAAGATGATTACCTTCTAGTAATAACATTTGATACAATATACGTTATACAACTACTAGTATAAGATATGATAACCAACCAACATACCAATGATTACCCTCTAGTAAAAATACCTGGTACAATATATGTGCTAAAACTACTAGTGAAAACGTGTGATAAACAAACAACATATTTGAATGATTACCCTCTAGTTATAACACCTGGTGTGAATGTGATTGGTCAGTCACGCACGCTTTAGGCTTTTTATTGAAACGTCAATATACATGACTGAATGTATGGCGCATGTGAAGAGGTCGATGATGATCAAACTTTTGAATAATAATAAGCAAACAAAACTGAAATCAAAAAGCAGTGTCAGCTATGAATTTCATGTTTTCCTGCTGTCATCATATACACCTAGTCTATTAGGAAATGACCCCGTTGATATCAACAGTCCTCATAATTTAGCACAAGCTCAATTGTGTCTTATTCATTTGTTCATCTTGAATTCTTCACCGACCTGTCCTCTAGTGCATCTAATGTTGTTGCCAGTACACGATAAAACTGTACTCACGATATTCACACGATAGAAATGTGACAGTTGGACGTCAGCATTGATGTTATTGTTCTATCAGTGCGATAGAACAATGACAGCAATGCTGTCGTCCAACTGTCAACCCTGACAAACCAAATGGAAAGATGCAAAACGTATACTGTATCTATTATATATGTTAATTCTTGTTGTGTAAACAACGTTTCTAAAAGCAGTTAATGCATAAGTGGGACAATAAGGATTGTTTGCAAGTTCAATGTTCAAGTCTGATTACATTAAGATATGGTTTGATTCCTCATATTTGTTTATAAGTAAGGAGAGATCATCATTCAGAAAATATGCTCTCTATCAGAAACTCTTTTGTATAATGTTTAAGCTGTGGATAGCTATTCTCGTAATAATGTAGTCTGGATCTCGACCTACATACACCCCCTGCGTGTTAACCAGTGTTTCGCGTTTCTTAAATCTTGCTCGGACTAACGATATTTACGGTCACTAATCACATACATTGATCAAGTAAACCTAATATTTGTAACATTATCAACAAACATATAATCTTCAATGTACCTCAAAAGATTTTTTCCAAGTTAAAGATTGTAAATCTAATACGACTAAGCGAGAAATCCATGCTGTCCCTTGATCAAAATAATGCAACAGCTGGTTCAAGTCCTAGGACAATCTATAATTTCTTTTTAGATTGAACGCGGAAGGTTGGTTTGATGGTTATAAAGCAGTCTGTCAATTAACTGTCAATGTGCAAAATATAGGCAAAATAACCTTTTTTGACTTCAAAGAATGTGTGCTTTTATTGGTTAAAAGCAACACAGCACATGCTGTTCATCCACACATGCTGTTTAATCCTACCAGCTAAACATACAGTTTCCTATTTACGTGTCAAATGAACCTTTGCCAGAGCTGGGAGCAACTCGCCCTATACCTGCAAGTTCTTAACCCATCATCAACATGTTGGATATACTCAGGTAGAGTATTGATATAGGAAATTGACTGAGATTAACTAGTATTATTTGTTTCTTTATATTGCATTACCAGGCATTTCCCCTAAGGCTGTCAAGAACATTCTTAGGGTTTAATTACACACGGACGTACTGACAGATAGCCGGATTGCAAATACCTTTCCGCTAGATTTACCTGCTTTCTCACTTTGCAAATCTTTGTCAAGTATTGATTCTTTTGGGTATGTGACAGGTGAATATATTTTGGCACTTAAAATTTACCACATAATCAAGATTATACTTCATGTATTTACACTGTATAAACAAGTTCATGGTCCTCTGTGAGTGTGTTGATATCCAGTTTTAACAACACCGACCTAGGTAGCTTCACGAATCCAAGTAACCTTGTCCTTTCCTTCTTATATTATTATACCATGAATCCAAAAAGTACCTTATATCATCATATCTTTTATCGTATCTATTAATTTAATTTGTTCACGAATAATTGCCTTTGAAAGACGAATAGTTGTGTGTTTAAGTTTATCAATATTCATATCCCACTAAATCGTAGGTGCATTTCTTCCATGATAATATAAACATCACAAGAATAAAAATGAAAATGTAGTTTTAAATCGTCAAATATAAACGTGATTTGCATAGCAAATTGTGTGCTTCTGTCCTTGATTTACGGGAAGAATCGTTATTTTACAGTTATAATACATATATATTTCTTAAAAATGTTATTACATGTTTGTGCATATCATGATAGGACAAGCCTAAATCATTTGCAATGATATTGCTGTTTTCAGTTCATGAACTTGTTAATGGTGTTACAATATGTTAATGACTTCATTACCACTTACCGGTTTGTTTATTTTTCAATGTTTTATTAACATATATGTATTCAATAAAAAGTTTTAAATTACTTTTCTACTTGAAATGTACTTTAACAGACATGATTTAAACTCGTGATAAATCATAGCCATATCAAAAGTAATATGCATTTGATCACATTAAACTTATTAAAAGACAGTCCTAGATAATTCATTTACATATCAAGTCCAAGCTTGATCACTGAATGCAAACATACCAATCCGCCGACGTTTCAGAAGCAACAGTTATTTTAGGTTTATTATGTTTTCCCTCACTTTTAATTTCAACGGCTTGCCTTTTGACCTATTTTTGTCTTCATTCAATTACATTTTGTCTTATAAAATGGCTATCAATTACACATAAATGACTACATTCAATTTCTGTGTTTAACCTTCGTCCTTATGAAACGTTTTACAAAGCATGCATCATTGCCACGGAGCATTTAAATACCCTTTTGGTACGGAATAATAGTCATTTAAATGGTCAGTAATTCTGTGAAACCTAAACCTTCTTATATCAGACTTAGACGTGTACTGTCAGGTTGTTTTGATTAGGACTACACGCCGTATATACCAATATAAACAACCTGCAGTGTAAGTATTTACTTACACCTGTATTCTCAAGGCCTCCACTCTAAGCTGTCGGAACACAGGTGATTTATACAAATACACTTTTCATTATTTAACTTTGAATACATTTATGTATGCATAAACTTGAAATGCCGTTCATTAAAAGTTAACATGGGTCTGAAATGCAGTTCATTAAAAGACAAAATTGGTCTGAATGCCGTTCATTTAAAGCGCATATTGGTCTGAATGACGTTCATTAAAAGTAAATATTGGTCTGAAATGCCTTTCATTAAAAATAAAATTTGGTCCTAAACGGATTTTTGATAACAAAAGAAAAAACAAATTTCAGGCATTGCTCATCTCAAAGATTTTCGAGGCTTTAGGACTGCAGTTCCTGTGGTTGTGATTTTTATTTTAGAATTAATTGACGTGTTCCGGTATACTGAAATTTCGGTGCAAGGACGGTGATCTATAATGAAAAAGCTCATAGCAATAACGTGTTACTTATAACTGTATATCGATAATGTTTATATAGCGTATTGCAAAGGATTTGAAAAGAAAATAGTTAAATAATAATATCTAATTTCAAGTATGGAAACATTTAATTTATACC